CTTCTTTTTGCAGCCAACTGTTGTTATTGGTGGAGTATTTACCTTCTTGAAAAAGCTGTGAAGTTTGTTAGGAGCTGAGAAGATGACTTCAAAGTTTACTCGGTTAGCTATTTTCTTTATTCCGTGAGAAAAATTATGAATATATGGCACAATGATGGGCGTCTTTGTTTTGTCTCTTTGCTTTTGTTGTGTGCATAGGTCTTGCCTGCTTTCGTTGATGAGCTTTTCGGCCACTGATGTTAATAACGAGTTTGGGTATCCTGCGCGCTTTAGTCTTGAGACTTGCCCGTCAAAGCTCGTTGGAATGGAATCCGAGCAGGATTTTATGAGTGAGTTTTTGAGGCATAACCGCACCATGCTTCTTTTAACAAGTTTTGAATGGGGCGAGTTGAATGGTAAGAGCGTTTTTTTTTTCCCTGGGCTCATACGACCAGCATAAATGGTAGGGTAACATGAAGAGTCTGAGATCCAGGAATCTTAAAGAGCGCTCGTTTGGAAGTTCATGGGTGATTTCCAAAGGACTCATGCACATTTTAAAACTGTCGAGGACGTCAGCAACCATGCTGGTGAAGTTGCGATCGTCTGAAGCTAAAACAATTAAATAATCGTCGACGTACCGGAACACTCTTATAACTTTGGAGGTGCCTAATAATTCTTTTATCTTCCTGTCGTTGTGCGCTAGATAGAGATCGCTAAGGAGAGGGGCAATGCAGGAGCCGATGCAGACAACTCTCTTCTGTCGGTATGGTTGGCAATCCCAGGTAGCAAAGGTCGACCTGAGGTAGATGTTAATCAAGGTCAAAAACTTGCTTTGGGATAAGCCCGACGCATTTTGAAAGGCAATAGCACCGAAGGTGTCTATGCTGACCTCTATGTACCTTAGGAGGCGGTCGTGGGGCAAGGAATAGTACAGATCCTTAATGTCGATGGAGAACACCTTTAGGTCTTGGTCACGATGCTCTTCTAAAAAGTTGAAAACTTCAAAGGAGCTGCGGATCAGGTATGGATCATGATTGTTAAGTAGGTTTAGTTGTGTTTGGAGAAATAAGGCAATAGACTTTTGCCATGTCCCCCTTTCAGAAACGATAACCCGGAAGGGGCAATCCGCTTTGTGAGTTTTGGCGCTGAAAAATATTTCTAGACTCAGATTTTTACTGCGATCGATGTAGGAGCAGAGTTGTTTTAAATCGTTCAAGTGACAAAATTGTTTTGCTCCCCTTTTAACTTTTTCCAGAGAGATCTCGGAGTGCTTGCTGAAAACGGATTCGACTGCTGTTAATGATTTTTCTCCAAACGTGTCCGAATGCATGAGGACAAAACCTCCCTCTTTGTCCGTGGGAAGAAGATATAATGAATTCTCATTCAGGCACGTTGTGCATCAAGAGAGTAGAAACGTACCTGAAAGCGAATTCATTATATTGTAGCGGCCCGCTGATGTGAGGAAGAAGAGGACTACTGAGGCATGCAATCGGGTGCGCGTGTGGTGCTCCCGGGACTCGAGCCATTCTAATCCTACGGATGTTATAAAGCGGCTGTTTCAACCATGACGTCTGACGACTCCACAATGGTGATCCGGACGTGATGATGGCAAGAGTCGGCGAATCCACGGTCGATGACGCGGTTTCCAGAATTCTATCCGCGAGTTCTGCCATCGCGTCCAGGGAGACGCCGGATGAGGTAGTCAAAATCATGCGTGCATTTGATGGGAGGCGTTGCAGGAACAACTCGCGAAGAATCGCTCGAATACATACCTCATCATATCACCCTCAGGCTAATGGGATGGTAGAACGTTTCCTTCGTCACCTGAAGACAGCACTCCTAGCTCATCAGACAACTAAGTGGACTGAAGTACTTCCGATAGTACTCTTGGGTATCCGGTCCGCCTTCAAAGAAGATCTGGGCTGTTCGTCAGCGGAGTTGGTTTATGGAACAACTCTATGTCTTCCTGGAGAGTTTTTGCAAGCAACACCTTCAGCGTCAATCTCTGACATCACAGATTATGTGGCTCGTCTACGCGACACAATGCAGCTCCTACAACCAGTAAAGCCAAGAGCAACATCGAATCGGGGTGCATTCCTCGGTAAAAGATCTACAAACATCAACCCATGTATTTGTGAGAAAAGACAAAGCCCGAAGGTCACTCGATCCACATTATGATGGTCCCTACAAAGTACTTCGCAGAGACACGAAGACGTTTACTTTAGAGATGACTGGACGACACGAAGTCGTGAGCTTAGACCGCCTAAAAGCCGCCCACATCGATAACAGTGCGACTTCATGCAGAACCAAGCCTGTGAAACACGTACACTGGGCAGCAACTATCAACATCATTCCTTCGCGCAATAGCGTATCATCATCACCATAAACTTTATTGTCCCACAAGTGGACGACTTTGATGTCACGGTCAATGCCCTCAGTCCAGCGCTCCGTTGGGCTACCACGATCTTGCGGGCTCGCTCAGCCAGCCACGGCTGGCGTTCGAGCTCTACGCAGCAGCTCCGATTCTAGCAGGGGGGCACCTGTAGCGGCCCGCTGATGTGAGGAAGAAGAGGACTACTGAGGCACGCAATCGGGTGCGCGTGTGGTGCTCCCGGGACTCGAGCCATTCTAATCCTACGGATATTATAAAGCGGCGGTTTCAAACATGACGTCTCACGACTCGACAATATCTTCTGCCCGCGGACAAAGAGGGAGGTTTTGTCCTCATGCATTCGGACACGTTTGGAGAAAAATCATTAACAGCAGTCGAATCCGTTTTCAGCAAGCACTCCGAGATCTCTCCCGAAAAAGTTAAAAGGGAAGCAAAACAATTTTGTCACTTGAACGATTTAAAACAACTCTGCTCCTACATCGATCGCAGTAAAAATCTGAGTCTAGAATTATTTTTCAGCGCCAAAACTCACAAAGCGGATTGCCCCATCCGGGTTATCGTTTCTCAAAGGGAACATGGCAAAAGTCTGTTGCCTTATTTCTCCAAACACAACTAAACCTACTTAACATTGATGATCCATACCTGATCCGCCGCTCCTTTGAAGTTTTCAACGTTTTAGAAGAGCATCGTGACCAAGACCTAAAGGTGTTCTCCATCGACATTAAGGATCTGTACTATTCCTTGCCCCACGACCGCCTCCTAAGGTACATAGAGGACAGCATAGACACCTTCGGTGCTACTGCCTTTCAAAATGCGTCGGGCTTATCCCAAAGCAAGTTTTTGACCTTGATTAACATCTACCTCAGGTCGACCTTTGCTACCTGGGATTGCCAACCATACCGACAGAAGAGAGTTGTCTGCATCGGCTCCTGCATTGCCCCTGTCCTTAGCGGTCTCTATCTAGCGCACAACGACAGGAAGATAAAAGAATCATTAGGCACCTCCAAAGTTATAAAAGTGTTCCGGTACGTCGACGATTATTTAATTGTTTAGCTTCAGACGATCGCAACTTCACCAGCACAGTTCCTGACGTCCTCGACAGTTTTAAAATGTGCATGAGTCCTTTGGAAATCACCCATGAACTTCCAAACGAGCGCTCTTTAAGATTACTGGATCTCAGACTCTTCATGTTACCCTACCATTTAGGCTGGTCGTATGAGCCCAGGGAAAAAAAACCGCTCTTACCATTTAACTCGGCCCATTCAAAACTTGTTAAAAGAAGCATCGTGCGGTTATGCCTCAAAAACTCACTCATAAAATCCTGCTCGCATTCCATTCCAGCGAGCTTTGACGGGCAAGTCTCAAGACTAAAGCGCGCAGGATACCCAAACTCGTTATTAACATCAGTGGCCGAAAAGCTCATCAACGAAAGCAGGCAAGACCTATGAACACAACAAAAGCAAAGAGACAAAACAAAGAAGCCCATCATTGTGCCATATATGCATAATTTTTCTCACGGACTAAAGAAAATAGCTAACCGAGTAAACTTGGAAGTCATCTTCTCAGCTCCTAACAAACTTCACAGCTTATGCAAGAAGGTAAATACTCCACCAATAACAACAGTTGGCTGCAAAAAGAAGCACAAGAACACCTTTGTCCCTTGTACAGAAAAGGTGGTGTATTCCTTTCCCCTCTCTTGTGGAAAGCTGTACATAGGTCAGACCGGAAGGTGTCTGAACGGTCGCCTTCGAGAGCATAACAACACATTCACCAACAAAAGCCCCGGTCATCTAGGCATTCACTGTCGAGACTGTGGCTGCTCAGTGCTGCTGAGTAACTGCGGCGTGCTTGGCAAGCATCACAACAAGCTCACAAGAGAAATTATCGAGGCAGAGAACATTGCGAAACATAACGGCACATGCGTCAGTACTCCCTCTTTAACCTTGTCACAAAAAGAATTAGACTACCTAGCTTTAAATTAATTTCAATTTAGTTCACTATTTAGCATCATATCGAAAGAAAAGAAAAAAGACCAGTTATTCTCCCTGGCCCTTGCATATAGCACAAATAGAAGAAGAGAAAGTGTAAATGTAGAGAGTTGTCAGTCAGCGCTGAGTAAGTGTTTCTTTCTTTTGTGTGTATGTTGATTTGAATGACTGTTCTCCGGGTGCGCTGTTCCCCCTGTGCATCTCTGTTGCAGTTAATTATTGACGAATCTAGCGAAATTGACGACACCTAAGGGCTCGAACAGAAAGCTGTGGCGGCAGGTTCGCTCTCCAGCCTTCTCGAGCGAATCAGATATTCACAGCGCCTGGCTGCATAAAGACGAAGCTGTTAAAGTAGGTTCAATACCGCGTGGTGAAAATTGCCAATAGTCGGTGACAGGTTAAAGGTTCGGGAGGAGCTCCTTTCCATTTCTTTCCAGTTTAGCAAAGCAAACGCTGTAGAGGAGGTGTTCACTTTACCAGCGTTCGCTCTGAAACTTTGGCATCTGGTCGGAATTCAGGCTTAGTATTCACTGTTACTAAATTTTTTTTTCACGCATGTCTTTACATGCGCTATATGCCGTATACGCGAGCCGCAAAATGTCATTTCGAAAGACTTCGATCAGCTTGATGTGGATTCGCAGGAGCATCTAGCCATTTCCGACCTGGAGGATCAACAAAACAAGGATGCCAAGATTCGAGAGCGAGTCGTCCTAGCCTTGAAGGTCCTAGCATTCTTGCTCTACCACGGCTACCTCATAGCCGGCATCAAACTCACCTGGAACGAAACAGGAAGCTACTGCCACGACGTCAAGTTCCTTGTGGTTGTCACAGCAATTGTCTACATTTGCGTGATCTGGAAGATTGTCGCCTACACCTTCGACTACTTCCTGGAAGCTCGCTGGGACAACCTCAAAAGCAACCTGAAGGAAAGCATCTCGGCTAAGACGAAGCGTGGAATGTGAGTGAAGGCTGTATATTACTTAATATGCTTCGTGTGTCATGCCCTGGTGTTTCTACGGAAAAAGACTGAGAGAGAGGAGGAGATGAAAGCTCGCGTGAACGTCTGAGCGCCATGCTCTGGTTGGCCTTGTGCTTACTCACTGTCTCCCTCTAATCGGAGGAATCAATAGAGCGCCACCTGCACTTCGCGCACTGTATCACGCTAGAACGTCGGACGCCGGCGTTCGAACAGTGAGTAGGGGCAAAGGCAACTAGCCTTTGCGTCTACCTATCACCTTTCCAATCAGGACTCCGCGCTCTGACGTCATCGCACGCTCTCATCTCTTCCTCAGTTTGTCTCCGTATAGACGTTTGCAGGTACGACCTCTGGGCGACGGGGCCATCTTGCTGCTGGTGTGGGTATAGCTATAGATCGTCTGATAGTCAAGCATTTCTGAGGCCGTGGATACACTTCAGCAACGCCGGACCAACAGGCGATCTGCCCACACCAGCAGCAAGCTGGCGGTGCCAAAAGCCGTACTCGCAAACGTCTATAGGCAGGATCGCGTGCTTCGATGAAATGGCAGGGTGTACTTGGTTATTTTTTTTTTAAACAAAGGTAAGGAGGCAGTAAGCTGTATTGCACTGATCTTCATTGTTCTCAGGGTTGGGCAGAAATACAAAAAAAAAGTATTTTGGAATTAGAAATACTGGGATACATTAAAATAGTAGCTACAATACTGATACTGAAATATATCTGTAAAATGTGTCGCGATACGTATCGGAAATACATTTTAAAAAGAGGCAAAAGGTCTTTTTTAAATACAAATACAGGAATACATTTTAGGAAGGGCAGAATTATAAATAAAGAAATATCGATACTGCAATACATTTTTAAAATTTGTTTGAGACACCAACTGAGATGAAGCTTGAAGTTTGAAGTGGGAGTTTTTGATCCGAAAGTACTTTCTTGTAGGTTTGGCACTTTTCCTTGAAGTTAGTGGTTTTGGACAACAAGGAGCCTAGACTTGGCTCAAAAAAAACGTTCCATCAAGTACTGACCGCGGTCCCTTCTCTGCCATCCGGTCTGTATGACGAGGGATGCGACAAGTCTTCGATCTCTAGATATATTTTATGCCAGCCTAAATCCCGTTAAAACGTCACCACGCCCCTATCCAATAAGCACGCCATGTCAAGATTGATCACATGACGTCACGGTGGAATGAACTGGTATTTTTATCTGTAGGTGTGGCCTTGAAAATGAAACTTTACGACAATGCTGTCTGAAAGGACAATACGTACTTTCCTTGTAGGTCACCGCGTTGAAGATCGTGCAGGCAGTGTCATTTGGAATTTTTGAGAATAGTAGACCACCAGAAGCATCCAGGAACACACGTTTTAGGTTTTGTTACGGTTGAAAAAACGATACGGTGGCATCCCTGTTCTGAAGGTCCTTCCTGCCGACCCTCCGCCACCGACACATGGATTTCAGTCCTAAAGTTTCGCCTAGCATCATCCAAACAGAGACCTCGTGGATTGCGACCTGATATTGCCGGCACAGGTGCGAGCTCTTCGAGAAATGGCGCGCTTGAGACGAGTCGCACGTGTACGAAGTCTGGGTCGGCGCAGCGAGGCCACGTCTGGCCTCCTTTCTGGGTTTCAGATGACCAGAGCAGCGGTTCACGTTTACGTCAGCTGATGACGTACCCTTGAGCCGTGCAATATTACGGGCGCAGCCGCGGATGCTTTCGAATATGTGTTGAACTTTACTGCGTGAGTCATCCTTCTATTTCAAGTCTACCCCCACTAGGCTCGCGTTGCAACGTACTGCGACTCAGCTTTGCCGGCTGGGTGTACTGTTTACGCTAAGGCCAGAGAGACGGTTAGCAGTGGGCATTGGATGCCAGCAAACAATGACTCAAGAAATCCATACCTAAGGACTTGCGGCAGAAGATGCTCTGACTCCACTCCTGACACGCCACCAGGCACGAGTCCCAGACTACGCAACACTTCTCACAAAAGAGAAAAGGATGCATAGAAAAATAGTTTGGAGAATCAGAAGGAACCCTGCTCAGCATAGTAACAATGCCCCAGAAGTTCCTTGACCCTGGTGCCCTCAAAAGTAAAAAAAAAAAAAAGGAATGTTCGGACTTGTTTTTCTTTCGAAGGGGAAGGGGGGGGGGGGGGGGGAATGTTTCTCGAGAAATGTAACGACATACGTTTCATCCTGATTGTATCGTGATACAATGAAACATTCCAAATGTATTTTTATATAGGAATAGATTTATTGGTAAAAAATGTATCGCGATGCAGAAATACAGATACGAAATGTATTTCTGAAATACTATCGCGATACATTTGTATCGCGATACTGCCCAACCCGGACTGCTCTCATTATACTTCAACGGTGTGCTCTCGCAAGGCGTCTAATCCACATCTCCTATATATTAGTCTTTCTTATTTTCTTATTTTCTGGATTTTGCTCAAAGGCACGTCGTATTAATTAAAGACCGTAAATTCTGCAGTCAGAACAAACTTCCCAATATACTTCCTGTCACCGATGATAGTTCTTTATAAATGTTCGCTCTTACCACTTTGAACGCCCAAATATAATACATAATTATCTAATAACCCACAATATAAAGACAATTTGTTTGTTGTTAGTAGAATTTCGCGTTGTCGTGATTCCTTGCATTTCTACCGTCAAGGGTTGGTCCGTGAGAGAAACTGCAAATGACTGTCGCGAAAAATAATGCGCCACCGTGTCCCACTTTACAGTCGTCGACAGCTCACCAAATGCAGGGTGTGGCTTATGATGTCCACGCCTCTCCCTCCGTGATTGGTTCTTTGACCTTGCTATCGGCTAATGGCGCACTCTCATAGGCTGCTGAGCGATAGTGAGGCTCACGGGACTCGCCACGCTCTGCATTTCTTAAGCTGTTGGTGGCAATAAGCGGAATATACATCGACTTTTTGTAACCTTGTTTCCATTGGTTTTCTAGCACAGAGCCTCGTTTACGGCACGCGACGAATCTTTTACTAAGGGCTTTGTTTGTGCCTCATTTTGGTGTGTGCAAAAAGTGACGGTTTAAAGTAGAGCGTGTTCCCCACCCCGTCTCAAAAAAAAAAAATATCTATATATATCTACATATAGACGCTTTACACACGCGCCAAATTATAGCCGCCATTGCTGACCTTCTCTTGTCTTACCGAGATGCCGAGCAACTGAAACGGTAGTTGACGATCCTCTGCAAAGGCCGATGCTTTAGAAAAAGACACAGTTGAATCTAATGTGGCAATAACCTGGCCTGCTATGGTAATGATGAAGGGAAATAAACGAAATAAGAGGAAACAAAAACTGAAGGTCAGTTATGGCGGCGTCCATGCACAGCTGCTGCAAAGCGTCTATATAGATATAAACGAATATGTGCAGATGAATAAACCGTACTTAATCCAATGAAATAAAGAATCAAAGTTTTCAGGAACCCGCCGAAAGCCAAAAAACGGTGGAGTTAGGATATGAACTTTGGGCCTCCCAATGTCCGGTCGGGTGTGCTAACCTCTCCACCACTCCACCTTGGCTTTCTGGCGTTTCCTACCTGTCTTATTAATGCACAAGAAACGAAATGTATCGAATCGGAGGTGATCTGGAAACACACGCCACCGCGAGGAACGCGGTACGACGCTTAGTGTCACGTGGTATGTGCTCGTTTGTGCTGCAGAAATCCTCCCACTGTTTGTTTCGCCCCGTGTACATGAAGTAGTATTCTTTGTTTATGACCTTTAGAGACACGGTATCATCATCATCTGCGAGAATCAAGAGCCACGTTATTGAATATACAACACGGGCACTTCACACCAGCGTACGTGGTCTCCGAGGAGGATATAAACGAATATGTGCAGATAAATGAACCGTACTTAATCCAATGAATCAAAGAATCAAAGTTTTCAAAAACCCGCCGAAAGCCAAAAAACGGCGAGTTCCTGATAACTTTGATTCTTTATTTCATTGGATTAAGTACGGTTCATTCATCTGCACATATTCGTTTATATCCTCCTCGGAGACCACGTACGATGGTGTGAAGTGCCCGTGTTGTATATATATATATATATATATATATATATATATATATATATATATATATATATATATATATATATATATATATATATATATATATATGTGAAGTAAGGTAAATATGAAAACAATGGACCGGGAAAAGTTAATAAGTCAAAGATACGTACTGTCGGACTCACTGATTCGAAGTTTATTACGACGTTTCGAGCGGGGACTGCTCTTCATCAGGTAAAGAGTGTACAGCCCGTGAATGTTTATATACCCCTAATACACCTATATATATCTATATATATTGTTAGGGTGATGCTGTCGGCAGCAGAAAGGGCAGTACAGTACACGATGATAGAACAGACAAAAGATTTATGGAGGCCTAGCCGGCCCGTGGGGCCTGGCGCGAGATGGTCATGCGCGCTACTGCCCCGCCGTCGTCGTCACCTTCCTGACAATATATATATAGCATTTTTTTGCAGCCAAAATTCACTGCACATGGCTCAATGCTCATTCTCTGCGCAAATGTAGCGCTAGCGGTCCGAGTCTGAGTCCTAACCGTCAGCCCAATAAAAAGTTACGTTATTTTCTGAAAATTTCAATGGAAAAGTGGGGTCCGTTTTTGGACGGTTTTCTTAACTGGCCGCCATTCGGCTCCATGTATTCGAGAGCTCCGTCGTCCTCCGTCTTTGCATTAAAAATTAAAAAAAAAATGAAACCTTTCAATTACTGTTTTGTGTTTTCGGGGTTTATTTTTACTCAAATTCGGGGACGTTGTTTGGGGTAGATTTTTCGGAATTGGCGTTTATCGGTACTTATTTTCAATGGCACTCAACATACAGGGGTTTATCGGGAAAAATGCTATAAAACAACTGCATATTTATGAATTCGCGGCCCCAAAGGCACCCCGCCCCCCTTCTCCCGGGTATCTTATTTTCTTCTCGAGACTATGG